TGCATCTCCACTTTCTTCACATTGAGATGAATTCCATCTGGTTTTTAGTGTGTCCATCTGGTGAATGGTGAAATCCATGTCACTGCCTTTTGAATATCCTTGTGTTTGTACACACTGCCCCCAATCACCAAATCATTAAATGCGCAGAAATCTGCAAACAGCTCTCCGTTCTCATTCATTTCAGCGAGTGCTTCTCAACCCATGGTGCCTGAGTTCTCTTCCTGTGTTGTCAGCTCCCAGTCTGGCATTCATGTCACCCATTTGGAATGGATTTTGATGTGGCCAAGTGGGGTTGAATCTTGTCCATTGCTAATTGTAGTTATCTTTAGAATTCCTCCCTCTTCTTTTCATCTGCATTATTTGTAAGTGCGTAGTATTTGCATTGTATGCTTGTGACTTTCCTTCCTTCCCTTTGATTTGGATCCATTTTGCTGTCATAATGCTGATCCTGCAGGAGGACATTGGTTCCCACTGAATGAGAGCCTTAGATGCTCTTAAGGACATCATGATACCTACCCCATAACTGAGTGTGCTCTTAGTTGTCTTTTGGGTGACAATATCGGAGTAGATTATTAACTCTCCAGTTGACTGTTTGGAAAGTCCACTTCTATTCCATCTGGTTTCGCAGATTCCCAGCCTAGCACTTCTATGCCTTACCCTCTCATCTCTTTTGCAATTTGGGCAGCCTTGTTAGGTTCAAACACGGTGAGGATATTCCATGTCCCCATGTTTACTTTGGCCTTCATAGAGAGAAGACACATCGGCTGATTGGCTTCCCAAAGGCAGGCTTTCACCAACTGGCGTCATTTCGTCTCTCCGATTCCAGCAAGGAATAAGTTTATTCTAATTTTTTTATGTTTTCTTTTATGTTGGGGCGCAGTAACCATGATGATCAATGAATTAAAATTGCAAATGTCTAATTTATTGAGTTTTGCAGATTAGATTCGACTCATAGTCGAGTCCCTGAAGTTGAGCATGCTGACTCAGTTGAATTATTCGCTGTAGTCAGGAGATATTTCAAAGGCTACGCCAGCAGCTGATGAAACAGTCCACCAACCTTAAGTATTCCTGCTGGAATGGCAGGTTTTCCTAAAACACAGAAGGCTGATTGGTGATTTCAGTCGTTGCAAGGATGGGGTTTAAAGTCGCTCGTGATCAGCACTAGGCATTAATAATTTTACATTGTACGAATCTATTCAGTTAACCTCTTTCAAAAACAATAGATTCGGCGGTATCCAGGATTTCTGAATTAAAATTCAGTGTACGCTGTAAGTAAATTTCAGGCTGATGGAGCCAACAACCAGTTAATTGTTAAGACTTAGCATGGGAAGGGAAGTGTAGCCAATAATTTGTGTTTTCTAATATGATGTTTAAATGTTCTTAAAACGTTATTGACAGTGTAACTCATGTTTTGTTATTTCAAGGTTGCATTCGTCATGAACTGATATCAATTGAAGAACCCTTGAAAACCTGACAGCAATTGACTGATAGTTGTGACCTGTGAGGTCAGCCAAGTTGGGTGTGATGATGAATTCTGTCCGATGGCACTACATAAAGATCTAGCTTTATCGCGAATTAATAGAAGTAGGAAAATGTGAACCACTGGGTTCTGACCCAGTTACTCAACGATGGCGTGCTTAATGCGAAAACTGAAGTTCCAGGGTTCATTTCCTAGGGGTAGTGAGTGTGCGTTATTGAGATGTCCTATACTAGGCCAAAACAGCTTTGCAGTGCTCTCAGACTTCCAGAGGTTCTGCAGCTGATGTCAGTCTGTGATGAATGCCACCTAAGTATTAGTCAACTCCCATACACCTCCGAATCGAATTACATGTTATTACTGTTATTATTATTGCGAAATATTGTTAGTGAAATGATTTGATAGTTTGCTAGACTGACATTAGTGTCGGCCACGTTTTCGTCAATTCTACATTCTGTCCTCGAGCTAGTTGTATTGGACCCTTCAAATAGAATTCTTGAATTTGTGTTGTCCAGTGCCATCTGGTTTGGCTGCATATAAATGATCAAAAGACAATGATTTTAGCCATCTGAAAACCCCCTATGAAATTGCGTCATTTAGCATATTATTCAGGGATGCGTATGCAAGTAGGCAAATACTCATCATATGTTATCTAGATGCAAAGCAGATAAAGTAGAAAGACAGATAGATAGGTGTCTACATACTTTGCTTGAAATATTCCAGGAAATCTGGAAGTAGATCAAACAAATAGTATGAAAACTTCAACAGCACACGTTAACCGAATGCTAAGGATGATGTGGATACTGAAAATTCATCCAAAGCAATTAATGAACGATGCAGTTTCAAATGAGTTCATTTTCTCACCATACTTCTTGATGTTTTATCGCCAATACCCGAAAACAGTCATTTCAAGTAATTATAAAACCCTGCATAAAGCATCTATCCAAGTATCCTGTCTTATAATACTGCTTTCCAAACGATTTTACTGCCGTTTTACCATAGCCACTCCATCGATAACTTTTGAAGTAAGTTGATGACGACTTTTGATGTTTGACTTCATGACTGTGTATGCACCTGAAGATTATGCAATGAAATGCATTGGTTATGTCATGCTTTCCAAACCTGTTCATTCTTCTTTTATTTAAACATCAATTATTATGAATACTACTTCACACTTTCTGACAGTACTTGGTACACGTTTCATATTCTGAGAGCAATTTCTTTACCATTTAACCGTTAATTTGTTATATTCCAGTCAGTAGTTCCCCTCTCATTTTGTCTCTCTCTTCTACCTCTATCAAGTGTTGCTTACTGACTGAAGATCAGATGGCCAGAAAAAATAAGCAATAAGGAACTCTGGAAACGAACTAACCAAGAACCTGTCACCCAACAAATATGGAGAGGGAAGTGGAGATAGATTGTGCATACACTGAGAAGTCCTACTGGGGACATCATGAGTCAGGCCAGTCGGTCGAGTGGAATCCCCATGGGAAACGACGAGTTGGGCGTCTGAGTCGAGGGTGACATGGAGGAGATCGTGAAAGGGGAAATGAGAGGTTGTGGGCTGTCGTGGAGCCAGGTTCAAAAGATTTCAGAGAAGAGAGTGCACTGGAGACGTGCTACTGAAGCCCTATATTCCATTAGGAACCCAAGGGACAAATAAATAATAGTAATCCTGCTTCCGATAACTTTCGACAACTTCGATAACTTTCCGGAAAGACAATAAAAGTTGGTCACCTGCTTGAAAACATTTTTGTAAAGGGCTTTATTCATTCGATTGCGAATTGCACCTTGATAATTGTCATGTCTATCTATCCATACAGGATGTATAATTGTTTAAGCCATAATGACAGTTGTATGCGATAATTGCCTTATCTCCTCGATATAGGAGAACTTGTAAAACATGGTGTGAATATGACTTTATACTAGTAGTGTTTTGTGTATCTGGGTATGTGTGTATACATGCATTAGTAGTTGATTGATAGGAGAAAAAATTGGCGACTTTAAAGGTCACCCTAGCAACTAGCGAAATGACCAATCAGATTTTTTAGTATTTCTCTCTGGATGTTAGTTTTTCATAAAATCAAGGACCCCAGTTGGTTATCTCAGCAGTTCATAGAGTGGCCTATAAAAAAACCCCAAAACTCAGTCTAAGCATCAAGTCAAACAAAACTATTGTACTTATACAGTGAATGAAATTTAAAATATACATAGATCTCACGCAACTAAATATGTGCTAACTAAAAACCACCCTAACAACAACCGAAGTAATATATTAGACTTCTTTATTTTATAGAAATCTGCCTTTCCAGTCAAAATACAGAAATCTGATTGGTTATTCCAGCAGTTGTTAGGCAACCTTTAGAGTCAATCATTTGTACAGCACAAGATTAGGCATTCTAGAGATAGCAAAAAATAGGAGGGATTATACAAAATATTATGCTAGAACTGGTAAAAATGACATCATGGTTCAATAAATGTGATAAAATGTTAACCGATTTTCATTAATATTGATTAATAATATGTAAACAAGTCAAAAAGTGTGAGCAAGTTCTGAAATAGACTGGAAGATGAAATGAAAAAACAGAGGGTCATGAGATTTTGTAACTACAAATTTAAGAGATTAACGTTACCATGGTAAAGTAAGACTGGCAGTAACATCTTTCTGAATATATAGATAAGGTTTGAGTTTTTAATTGCAACTGTTTCAACAGTTCGGAAATGGGTGGGTTTCAGTTGTTTATGAATCCTTTTAGACGATTTTGATATGTCCAGCATCAAATAACTGATGGGAGACTGTGCTATTTAAACTCTGTGGATCAGAAAGGCTCAAATTCTTAATGATAAGTTCAGAAATGTGGACAAGAACCCTTCTGTCTATTATTTCAATATATGCATTTTGTCACGCACATGTGAATTCACATGTTTCTACCACAAATTATTTTTGAATTTCTCTTAAGTTTTTACTGTTTTCACACTTAACTGTTCTTTCCAAAATGAGCCCGTTCAGATTATGCACTGTATATGATAGTCAGCTGACAGAAAGCAAAAATCAAACGTAAACTAACTTGTTTACACTGTTTTATTTACCCTATTTTGTTTGTTAGTTAAGTGAGTGCGATGCAGATGACACGGAGGTACTCGTGATGTGTAGAAGTCTATTCAAAGAGGAATTAGTAGTAGATTATGGAAATGCAATAATTACTTAGTTAATGGTCTACCTTGTCAAATGTCAGTGTCTGAGTTTTTTGCATATAAGTAATGATCTTGGCTGTCACATTCACTTTACAACTATTGGTAAACTGCAGAATATCACCTTGGAGGTAGGACCTACTGTAGTAGACCACCTGGTATCTTGGTTTATTATGACGTCCTTGAATAAGAGTGTGAACGGTAACACGCCATATTTCAGTGTAATTCAAGAACTTAAGTCATAGTAGGTTATGAAATGCAACATGAAGAGATCATGTTTGCATAAACTACGGAAAAAAAGAAATGTGAAAAACAAATAAGTAATAATAATAATAATAATAATTCACTTTATTCCAAACAATTTGTGGTACAATTTGGAATTCTCAGCGTAATATATATTGCAATAACAACAAAATATAAGTATATACATACTACTTTGCAGCCTTTTGAATTGTTTTATTATAAAAATTTATGTGAAGAATATTAAAAACGAGAAAATTTTGCATTGTAAGTTAAATTATTGAAATGAGATTTTTAACTGTCACAAAGTTGATGTGTGATTTCTGTTCTAACACTTTTTTCCTCACAAAATACACGTGCAAGGTAAGGTACAGTCGAATTCTTATACTTAGCTGTACGAGCATACAGTCTTATGTAGTTTCTCCTTGTCCTCCCTGAGGAGATACATGGAGAGAGCTGTAAATGAAGTGGATGCTCACTGTCAGTTAAAATTTCTGTAGCTAGTAGCTTGCAGGAATTTATATGTCGATCAACTACAGTGTTAATCAGTTGAGCCAGAGACACACCACTCACCCTGCTGACGGTCTTCAAAGCCCTACGCAACATAACATAGTCCTTTTTAAGAAGACCAGGAAAGATTAATGGGGAACAATATAGAAGAATAGGTAAAATGCAGGAATTAATAAATTGTAAAAGAAGCAGTTGAGTTATACCAGAAAGCCTCAATTTCTTTACGTAATAAGTTAAACGAAAGATTTTTTTACAAGTCAATAAAATATGGGACGACCAACAAAGGTCAGAAGTAAAACGCAACCCAAGATAGTTCACACTCGATTTACTTTCTGCAGAAATACCATTCATGCAGCAGGCGTCATGTTTTTTTTTTTTTTTTTTTTAGTCTTGTTTACGCCTGAGGCTAAAATTAACGGTCTGACATTTAGAGGGGTTTAGTTTGAGACCATTTACCAACTTCAGACAAGAATTCATTTAATTTCGAGCAATCCAAAGAAGAGTTTACTGGAATAGAAATCGTCAGGTCGTCAGCATACTTGATAAAATTAGTTTCAACAGAATAAGGCAAATCGTGCAAAAAAAGGAAAACAGAAAAGGAGAAAGTACAGCACCTTGAGGCACACCAGCTTCAGTAAGCAATGAAGTGGAGCGCATCCTTTATGAATAGTGTACTGTTTCCTTTCAGAAAAATAAGAATGCAGCCATTTTGTAACCCATGGATCAGTGTGAGCTATGGCAAGCTTATTTAACAAAAGTGGTCTAGGAACAGAGTCAAAGGCTGATGAGTAATCCAAAAAGGCACAACGGACATACTTAACACCTTTGTCGAGACTAGAAACAATATTATGATGCAAGACAGTAGCTGCATCTAAAGTACTCCTCCGGTGTTTGTAAGCAAACTGTTTTGGATCTCTGAAGGCCATCAATGAAGGCTCAATCACAAGCAGAAGTAATTTCTCCATTGTCTTCAGAAAAGGGGAAGTTATAGCGATGGGTCGAAAAGTAACATCTGATCCAGAAGATGGCTTAGGCACAGGTACAATTTTTATCTGCTTCCAAGCAGTGGGTATTATGTTTTTAGAGAACGATACATTGAAGATATCTGTAAGTGGATGACACAAAATATCTGCACATTTTCTAAATATGATACTAGAAACACCATCAGGACCTAAGCTTTGGGAGGGATTCAAAGACTTTAGACATTTAAATACATCATTTGTATTGAAACCTGGAAAGCAGCTATCCACTTGATTTTGCACATTAGGAAGGGTGAAATTAGCTTGCCGACGTATAAATGACTTGTTTAACGCGCAGACATCCGAACGAGTTTGTGTTGTCATCTGTTTTTTACCAGTAAGCTCTTTAAATAATTTCCATATATTGGAAGAGTTCTTACACGATAAGAACTCGTTGTATATAGTATTCAGACGTTGTATTTCAGACTTAATTAGGCAGTTAAGCCTTTTAACGCCAGGGTGATCTCTCGCCTTATACAACCTTTCCTTTTCTCTCCGAAGCCTCTTGAGATGAGGAGAGGAAAGTCTGTCAAATCTCATGTAAATTGTTTCAGTAGGGCAGCAGATATCGAGACAGAATCTGAGATAGCTTGTGATATTGGTAATAGTGTTGTCTAAAACTTCATCAGCAAATATATCCCAGTCCGTTTCTATAAGCATGCTTCTCAAACGTAATATATTTTCTTGTGAATAGCATCTGTATTGAACTTTCCTTGAAAGGTATGCAAAAGCTTTCTTGTATAATTTTCCGTACACTTTAGGCAAAACACGAACGATACAGTGGTCGGAATTTAGCAGTGGAGCCCGTTTACGGGCTTCATATATGCCAGGTTCATTTGTAAATGCAAAGTCTAAGGTGTTGTCAAGACGAGTGGAAAAGTTAACCATATTTTTATGACCCAATGATAATAGAAAACTGTAGTCACATGAGTTAAAATCACCACAGACAATAGACAAGGAGTTTCCCAGAACCGGAGCAGCAAATTCAGTGAATTTATCAGCAAAAGTTGACAAATCTGAGAAACTGCAGTCAGGTGTGACATACATGTTTGTGATATATATGTATTTGTATTTGCTCAAATGTTTGGGACGACATTTGATGGTAATGCACTCAATTTTTTCGTTAGAGAAGCAGAAGCATACATAGTTGGAGGACGACCAGTTAGTACTAATAAATGTTGCTACACCACCACCACATTTCTTCTTCGAAAAGCTTCGATCTTGTCGAAATAATTTGAAACCATCTAAGCAGACTAAGTCATCATCATACAGATTATGAAGCCATGTTTCCTGCAGCATTATTACACCCGTGTTTCGATAAACATTTGTGGACAAGAGTGACTGAAGGTAATCAACTTTATTCGGCAACGACCTGCAGTTTGTGCTAAGTATTTCCGGAATAGTCATTTGATCTATGGTCATACGCTTCAGAGCTCGTTGCCATCCACCGTGGTGCTTCTTCTTAAATTTCCTATCAACTTGCGAAGCGATAGGTTGTAATGATTTTAAAAACGCGCGAGAATATACAATACGATTGGTTGACATAATTAAACGATTAAAACAATATAGAAATAAGAAATTTGATGCAATATACTCGATGATAGAAAACGGTAGCCCAGAGTTCAAGCAGGCCGCCAGAAAAGGTATGATGAATGATTAAATTTGTAAATGAAGGAGAATTTTCTGTTTATTAGTATTGCTTCATCAGTGTGTTTTCTCTAGACCAAATTGCAACTGATTTCATTTTTGTAAATCATTTCACATTGAGTCACATGCGTCATTGTCTGAGGCAGACTACTATTGAATTATGCGCTCATCAACAATTCGTCTTGTTTTTTGCACTTTAGATATTAGAATTAAAAACTGGTGATTGGTAAGTTGTACAAAGCATAGATACGAGAAATTAAGGATTATATGTGAAATTAATCTCATCATTTCAAATTATAAAAGCGATAAAATATGTGAAATAACCGTCTTTACTGTATATAGGTCGTGTTGACATATTGCAGTACGTGAGTACTGGGCTATGTAATATCTTCTTATGAAGAATTTTCCTCATTCCCTCATCCACATGTTTCTATTTTGTACTTGACGGGGTGTTTCAAAACCGGGTCAACGTTATTTCGCTTATCATTTCCATACATTATACCCTGTAGGTATAAGTAATGCCTACTAGCGGTTATCCTTGAGCCATACATCTATTCTACACTGATCTCACACTGCATATAGTATCTAAGGGATGAGGGAGAAAGATTCACTGATTGACAATGCCCTCATCGATAAAAACGGTTCAGTCCCATGTTTCAACATACCAACAGTATGAATACATTATGGTAACCACAACCATTTTAAACACCCGTCAATGTATGTCATTGATATCCTCATCAAAAATGTTTGAAATGTATTTATTGGTATTTGTATTTCTCCGTTGCCATATTTCATCGAATTGCTCAGTCTTTATTGGCAGATGACCTTCTATACGGATGTCCCGATACCGCCTGAACGCACTCAATTGACCTAAACTGAACAAACTGCAAACCTAGGTTTGGTGAAATCGTTTACCATACTTTAAAAACAATAGTTTGATATATTTTTGAGATGAATGGGGATTTTTTAATTCAGACGTAGTATTCATCATGGACTAACATCAGTTAGGGAACCATTGAAAAGCTGGGAGCACTAGACAGCTGTTTCGTCCTAGTATAGGACTTCTCAGCAGTACGCACCCACGACCCGGCTAGGGGTCGAACCCGAGACCTTCAGGTTTCACGGAGAACGTGTTAACCATTCAGCCACTGGGTCGGTTCCCAGTGGTTCACAATTTCCAACTCCTGTCAATTCACGACAGGTCCCGGGTTCGACCCCCAGCCGGGTCGTGAGTGCGTACTGCTGAGGAGTCCCATACTAGGACGAAACAGCTGTCCAGTGCTCCCAGATTTTCGATGGTCCCCTAACTGATGTCAGTCCGTGATGAATATGTTTTAAAAGATTCATTTTTTCGGCTGAATGTCTAATGAGCATAAACATTCAGTGGACCCTGAGTTGAATAAATCACATGCACAAAAATGTGTGGGCGGAAATATTTATTATCTGATTACTGAATTGTGAGTTTCCTAGTTTGATTGGTGAACACTTCAAATAATTCATATGAGTAGTTCAACTGAAATTCTAACTTTTATGTAGTAGATGACAAGGTGATCCATTAGTTGACTTATGATCAGAAGTCACTTTTTTGTTCCGTTGTTTACTACTGATCATAAAGATTAATGTAGATTGCTTGACCGGCTACCCTTATTTGTAAATACTGACTGAAGAGTGATACGTCATCACTGGACAAACCTGCACAATAGGATGTATGTTGAGTGCAAATGAATAGTGTCGAGTGACTCTAACAGCCATCCTAGAAACAGATGAAACAACTAATTTGACTCTCCTATTTTATGGAAGTTTACCTTTCCACCATGAAAAAAGAAACCTAATTGGTTATTCTAGTTGTTGCTAGGGTGAGTGTTAGTTTCACGCAAAATGTCACCTGGCAGGATAAGAGTATTGAAGTAATAAATTATGGGAAATGAGGTATATATCGACGACAGAAGGTAGATGCAAACAGTTGAATTTAATCTGAGAGTTGATTGGTCAACAAACACTGTAAAAAAAACTAAGTGACATAGACACATTCGGAATGCCAGTTGGGTGGACTCATTCGGTAGAGAGCCTAGCTTGACCTAGGTTTTGTGTTTTTTGTCACTCGTCAGTAAGGCAGATCTCCAACCTCGAAGAAAATGATATCCCCCTGTAAGATTCGAACCCATGTCACCAATAACGCAATCAGAGATGTTAGCACTAAGCTCATCAGGCTACCAACGAATTACTCTACAACTGGATTACATTCATCAGTTGGCTACTCTGCAGCGATCGGTCAACGTACATTAGCAATATGAACTCTGAAACTGCCGAAATGAGATTGACTGAAGGGAACATCTAGAGAGTCATAACTGCGCTCGGAAACTAAACACGAAACAGACCCACTGGAAGTTGTTGTCATGTGGAGCTGTGGCTCATTGGTTAAGGGAGATGGCTTTCAACCAATGGGTCACGGCTTCAGGCCTCACTCCACCTACCGAGGATTAAGCAGCCAGGTAGTATCATCAGCCCTCATGCAATATGCGTGGCTCACTGGGTACTGTGAAAATGTCCACAGTGTGATGAGAGTAATAAAAAATAGTAATAAATGCACACACCCTTTAATCTAGTAAACTGATTTAATTTTTGATAAGTATTAATGAAAATACATTTCTAACAGCACATAAATCACTTCCAACGATCATGGGAATTCTTGTTCTTTGTCATTATTATTTCTTGCATTCATGCCAACGTGCTTACTCGAAAAAGCTGTTCAACTGTTCCATACATAGGTACTGTTGCTAAGGCTTTGAGTCAGCAGAATAGTATATTGATATCAGATTGGTATTCACGATAGTCTGACATCAGTTGGAGAAACATTGGAAACTTGGGAGCACTGAACAGGTGTTTCGTCCTAGTGCAGGAATCCTCAGCAGTGAGCACCAAGGACCTCTAAGTTCCGCAGCCAGTACATTACACTGAGGAGTCCCATACTAGGATGAAGCAGCTTTCCAGTGATCTCGGGTTTCCAATCTTTATCCAACTGATATCAGTCCATGATGAATACCAACTTGAAATCAATAAATATATCCCACAAACCTTCAAATTGAGCTGCGAAATCAGTTGATGATCACAGTCCATTAGTTTACATTGGATGTCCGCTGCTACTGTTTCTTTCCAGCTTTGTTATAGATACACTAATGAAAGTTACCTAGATTATCTTCAAATTTTACAGGATCGGTTTTCTTCACAAAGAGTTAACAGTTTATACTTGAGTGTTATAAGAAATGAATAGTATCATTTTGAAGGATATCTAATAAATTTTACTCTCTGAAGCAGAATTATATCGATAAGCTTGTGGGCCTCCATCAAATGAGGTGCCTTGGACATGTTTTGCACATGCCAAGTCACTGCCTACCTTGACATACAATGAGGTAGGCTCAGTGTGGTTGAAGAAAGAGTTGGAACCAACCCATGAATCTCTGACTGTTGGTCTGAGATGTGTGTGAAGGTGTAGACTTATCTGCTTGCAGTCCTTCAAGTAAAACAAACCAATGGTTTGAGAACCATGGTGACGTGACTGAAGATCAGACACAATGGGAAAGGTGTATTCAATCTCAGACATCATTCACAGCTTCAACACTTTTACTAACCACTATTTTTTAAAAATCTCTTCCGTTATATTCACTAGTCAGTCGCTCTTTCAAAGATACTGTGAAGTGAAACGATATGAACTAGCGCACTTGGCACGACATAATGTCTTGATTTTGCCTGTCTCTCTGTCTGTCACATCGTTCAAACTTATTCACGAAGCTTCTTCAAGGTACATATTTTAATTATATCTGTTCAAGCTCCGCATATAGGGAAGTTTAAACTTCACTCATCCACTCGAAAACAGTCTGTTGTTAAATGAAATCTGCATCGCAAACCCTACATCGATATCAAGGGTGATCAATGTGTTATCTTCATCTTCCTCTCCATGATTTCACACACAGACTGACAATTTTACCCTCCACTAAATCCAATAGTTTCGACCTGTTTAACCTCATGTGCATCACGGTGGTTAGACAAGGCTGCTATTTCATGAATGATTTCATACTTTGTTGCACAGATATGCAGTCGTATACATCAATGAATGTTGAATGAAAGAGATACGAGATAAGCCAAACTCCACAACGACAATTTGAGTTATTGAACTCAGAAATCTCCAGTTATCATTTGGAAAATGAGGTTTCCGTTTGCAACTCCTCATTTAACTCTCAATTGATATCTTGCATCTGATAGTTTATTCTCTCTCATCTGGATAAATTCAGATTGTATAGTAATCCACCATTTCTCAATCATACAGTAGCAGTCAGGTCGTTAAACTAAGGCACAACGAAAACTCACTTCTACCTAACATTCTAGACGATTCGGGTCCTCAGTGGGAGGCTCGTGAATACTGGCTGATTGATTGACTGATTGACTGGTGTCATCAGAGATTGATTGATGGTCTCAGGTTCCATTTCTGACTAGTTTGTGAGTGCACAGTGTTGAGAAGTTCCATACTACAACGAAGCACGTATCCATTGATTCCAGCATTCCAATGAGTGTCCAACTGATGACAGTTCATGATGAATACTATCTTGAAATTGAAGTTTGTTGATGCGGATCCCTTTTTCATAAATCACGTGAAATCGACTATTTATCTTTATTATATGTTGGATAATCTTCTAAGTGAAATACACAGAATTTGAAAATCACCCTCAGACCAGTTAAGCTTCAGTGAGGAAAACATTGATTAGAATAACGAGTTTTCAATTTCATTGTGTCCGGTCAACCACTTAAGACAATTTATGCACTCACCTTAAATACTCATTGAAGTTTGAGAAGACAGTAATGTGAAGAGTGATGATAGTAGTGGTTTAAGTCCCTTTCCATAAATCTACATGAATACTCAGAAATCGCTTTCGGTTGTGTAACCATAGTAGTGTATGTATACTGGTCATGCAATTTCACTTCATCATGAAGCCATTCATGTGATATGAAGCTTTTCCTTTCAAATGAACATTCGAGACTATTGTTTACATAGATGACGTTGAGGGGGGTGGGGTGGGGTGGGGTGGGGTTGGGGGATCATGTAGTTGTGGAAGATGGTATCAAATCTATTCTCACAGTTTACATAAAGCTTCGTGGATGT